GATATGTGGCGCAGTAATGAAAATCTCTATCAAAATTTTCTATTAAATACTTTTTAGCATGTTTTCTTGATTATCTCGGCATCCAGTAGTCCATTCATAAGGGTGTGGCAGCCCTGGCTCAGTGGTTAAACCGCGAGTCTCCTATAAGCTAAATTTTCATTACATAGCGATAGGCCATTAATTCAGGTATCAGCCAATACATAAAACTGTATGATTTTCCATAAGGAATTTCTTTGTAACTTAAATGATGGGCGTATAAACTAATATGCGTACAAATTTGGTTAATTGATCTGTCGATTAATGTTGATCATGCCTAAATACTGCACAGCGTTAGAACATGGGAAAGCAAATAAAGCCAGGGATCGACAGAAACTTGGCCTTCGCTGATTGGTCTATAATGGATACAGTCACCCTTCTCACCCGGCAGGGGCTCATATTTCTGTACGTGGTCGCTGTCGAAGTGATTACATGTATAAAATAAGGAAGTGATTGACAAAACATTAGTAGATTGGGTAACAAACCAGTAATAATTAGACTGCATTGCACGCCGCAATACTGGCCTAAATCGAGCTGTTACTAGGGTTAGAGATCAGGTTCAATTCCTGAGTTGTTTGACGTTCTGGGTATCAAAGTCACCTGGTTGATGTAGTCTATATGCACGACTGGAGATTTTCATTTGGACAAATCTTATGGTACTATCCCATGAACCCTGCAGCTTCCTATATAGTTGTGATAAAGCCAAACCAAGTAATTGGATCTTGGTTATAGTTTACTAGACCGTTGGTAAGGTAGTGATAACGTTCACTATGACTGCGATGTACCCTCTATTCAAATTTAACAGTATTAGAGTTGCTGAAGTACCTTCTCCACATAGATTGGGATATGTTGGTTTAGGATATCATACCTTAGATGGCACAACCTAGGGGATGTGTTTCAGTGGCAAGGCCTCTGAAAAATGAGGTCAACGCTTAAGGGTGACTTGACGTAAATTAGAACCTATGGGGAAAACTACCTATTCAGTTTCGATGGGTGGGTGCACAATTGACCACTTAAACTGAAATCATCTTAAAAAAAAAAGTAGTCCATTCGTAATGTAATACATATCATTTTGAAGAGCGCATTTTGACGCACACGATGGTTCTTGTTTCATAAAATTTCGATTGGTAGATCACGAGAAAATAGCCTCCGTGACATTTGTTTTAATTCATTATATATATATTTTTATTTTTAGTAGCATAGTAAATTTGTAAAATATGACTTTCTTTTCCATATTTTCTATTGATATTCTACCTGAAGAAATCTCTTAAGATTTGGTTGGTAACTATTTTTATTACTAAAGTATTCAAATTTATTAATTTGGGGTAGTTGTTGCAATAAGTAAATTAATAATGAATTTTCTTGTATCAATTGTTCATTATTAAATGTTTTAGGAATTAATAGGTCTAATTTTTCAGATATACTCTACTTTAGAAATATTTTCAGAAATTTGTCTTAGCCGGAGGTCATCATCATTCGTTTCTTCTTTACAAGTCATTGTAGCAGCAGATTCAAGTTTATCATTTTCCATTGGCATTTCTTGATACAAGTCATATATTTCTTCACAAAGGTAATCAAAAG